GGGGGGGGGGGTAGGAAGTTAAAGCTAGTTTGCCATGACAATGCTGTCCCTTCTACCCCGGCTTCCAGTAAACCCAGCACTACACCCACCCACAAGACCCTGTGGGATCAGGGCCCCAGTGCTAGAGCATCAACTTTCCGGGAAGCCCTGACCAGACCTAATGAAACGATTTAATTCTACCCACGATTGCTTTGTGGAGAGAAGAAGTTGGTAACTAGATTTATTTATACTGCATCCCCACCCGACTTTCCAAACAAGTTACATATTTATGTGAGGAACAGGAAGAGACATTTCACCTCAGGGGAAAATCGGACATCTGAAGACCAACACAGTGGAGAGAGTCAGTTTGTGTTTGCATAGAACACTGGTCTTGGCACCGCTCAGTGTACTCCTCTCTGACCTTCGCCTTCAAGGAGAACTCAAAGTGGATGAATCCCTCGTGTCAGCAAAAGGAGAAAGCTTTGTCTTGGGAGGTGGGTGGTGGGTGGGGGGAATTGGGGAATTGTCTGGGAATTCTTATTTTTCCCTCTTTTGGACAGGATTCCATATGTACATATCAATGGGATTCTGGCCTGGTCCACAAAGAGGCACTAGAAAGCCGTGGTTTTACAATTCTAGATCCTTTATTATCTACAGTCAAAAAGCATGATACAAAAGCTGTTTTAATGACCAAGCAAGTGCCCTAAGACCCGTGGAAATCCTGGATCTTTTCTGCTAAGCTGGCTGAGGCGGTTGGCTTGCTTTATGTCGGAGCTTAACATTTTCGAGGCTGCTGAATCATGTAGATCCTTCTTAGTGGTGCGACCTTCTCCAGGGCAGGCCTGGGCTTTTGATGTGCCCTGTGCACTGTGGCTGGGAAGTTCTGGCTGAGCTAAAGGTGAGAAGGGAAGACAGAGTAAGCACATTTGCTCTGTGGCTCAGGACATAGTAAGACAGGGGAAAATGTCATAATTTTGTGTATTTCTTTGGTAATAGCTTTGTATTCCATCCCACTTCCAGCCCTGGGCTCATGAATGGATGTGCTAACCTGAGTTTTCCTCTCATTTTTCTGATTTTCAAAATGATAAAATAAATACATATGTTAATGTCATAGAGTATGATATATAACATATGTATGCTATATCTAAATATGTATATAAAATAGGTATCTTTTGCACGAATATTTGTTAAGCTATATAAGTTTCTTTACATATTATATGTAATGTCTATGTTGTGTATAATATGTTACATATTATATATGCTATATATTATAGATTTTCTATATATACATTATTCTATATGCTTTGGTATAACATTGGAAACATTTTCATTTGTGGTAAAAACACATAACATTTTTCCTGCACAATCACCATGCCACTCATGTTCATTGTCAAATTTTCCATTGCCTTAAACAGATGATGTGAAACAATATTTTTTTTAGGTTGAAAATGACCCTGGCATATTTGGATCACTATATTCTAGGATAGCTCGGAGGATACTCGAGAAGGTACTGAAAGGGAAAATAAAATATCTTGATTGACAAAATATCTGGGCAAAAAAACCCCCCAAAGAAATCAACAACCTCTAAAAGATGTCAAAAATACTTGGTCCTAAGTATTAAGTTGAATCACGTAACATTGCTAATTTTGGGAAGGTAAAAACCATGGCAAAACACTGGCTGTTTTATACTGTCCAAGCAAAATAAACCGTGATGAGAAACAGAGGTGCTTCAAGTAGCAATGGCTCCTGCATCATGTCTACAGAAGATGCCTTCCTTGTATGAGGAAACAGGCTTAACTGGATTTAAATGAACACACATCGAGACTTCTTGGCAAAGAAAGAAAGAAAGAAAGCTCAAAAAGATATAATAGAATCTGGGGGGGGTGTGATTTTTATTAAGGAGCGAGCTTCCGATTGTCCACATGCCAGTGCTGCTAAGCACTGATGTAGTTTCCGGGAGGAGAAGAGTTCAGACCCAGTGACCTTTGCTGTCCATCCCATGGCTAGGTTTCCAAGCCCAGCAAGACAATGTAAAGAACATCTTCCTTGTCCCGCAAATAAATAATGCCTCAGCCCACTAGAATATAACTTATCTTGGCTGACCTTAGACACCTTTGCTTTGACAGTCTAATTAAATAAACAGGGAGATAAACTATTTTTGACCCCGTGCATCACATTGTTTATGGCTTGTTTGGACTCTTCTAAGCCAGGGCAGACAGCTGTGTCCTACATCTCTTCTCCTGTGTCCCTGCCCAGGCTCTAGACATACAGCACTGCCTTTCATGTGACACGCGACTTCAAAGCCTTCCTTCTGCTTGGTCTTAAAAAATTAGACATACTGGAAGAATAGACGGGAACGCGGGAACAATGGTTATCTCGGAGGGATAGACTTATGGGCGATTCCTAGTCTTTCTCCTTATTTATTTCTAATTTATTTTCTTTCCAAGGAATAAGTATGAGCTACATAATGATTGAGCTCAAGGATGGTCTCTGCTGACATCCTACCGAATAGGAGAAATGTAATTCAGGTGAAAACAAACAAACAAATGAATCAAAAACAAAACTCAGGCGCACTGTTGTTGAGTTGATGCCAACTCACAGCAAGCCTACGGGTCATTGGGAGGTAGTGCGGTATCGGTCATCAACATTGTCTAGGAGATAAGAGAAGAGCTCTGATCATTTACCCCCCTTCTGGTCAGATCAAGTGCCACTGGGCCACACGACCTGCGTCTCTAGTGTGGTATTAGACGAGTGCATGGTTTTTTCTTCAACACCAGGACCAGAAGGAGATGGAAGAGGGGACTGTCTGGAGTACTTTGTTTCCCGGCTGGACGGCGTCATTCTCCACCAAGACAGATGGATTAGTTCAGGTTACCTTTAAGCCAGATTTAAGAGATCCCAGGGAGCACAGTTCAGTCAATTGCTGAAGGTCAAACATAAGGTAAAGAGATGTGAGAAAGAAAACACAAATGACGCTGATGTATCATATATCGGGGCAGTGAGCCATTGTGCGGTGGGGCCCTAAGATAACAAGCTGGGACTGGACGGGACAAAGCTAAAGTAGGTTGTTCTGAAAGGGATGATGGGTGGAGTTGGGGAAGGACAACAGGGTAAAAACACACTGTGTAATTCAATTATAACTCCTTATTTGATCATTTTGAGGGTCCCTAGTGGTAATGCACAGGAGCTCTGTTGGCATAGTGTTTACACATTGGGCTGCTAATCCCAAGGTCTGAAGTTCGAAACCACCAGCTGCTCTGTGAGAGAAAGACTGGGCTTTTTACTTCTGTAAAGAGTTCTAGTCTCAGAAACCCACAGGGGCAGTTCTACGTGGTCTCATAGGGTTTTTATGAGTTGGAATCGACAGTGGCCATGAAATGTTGTTATTTTGGGTGGCACAAATGGCTAAGCTCTCAGCTTCTCTCCAGAAGGTTGGTGGTTCCAACGCTCAGAGGTAGTTTTATAGGGCCTTTATGAGTCAGAATCGACTCCATATGAGGGCGTTTGGGGAGTGCTGGTGGCACAGTGGTTATGTACAGGGCTGCTAACCCCAAGGTCAGCAGTTCAAAACCACCAGCTGTGGAAGGCATTCTATTTCCATAAAGAGTTATTGTCTAAAAAACCCACAGGGACAGTTCTACTCTGTCTTATAGGAGTGGTTCTGCCTGGAAGTCTAGATGGCAGTCAGATTTGGTTGGATTTTCTTTCATTTTTTTTGATGGCATAGACGATTACACTCCCGACTCCTCACAAAGAAGTTGGTGGTTTGAACATGCAGAGAGGCACCTGAGAAGACAGGCCTGGCAGCTGCTTCTGAAGGCCGAAGCTTCGAAAGCTCTGCCTACCCGGCATCCCATGAATCAGAGTGGACCAGATGGAGACCAGCAATAGCGGCAGCAGCAGCTAATCCCCCCACTAGGAGGGCCTGCCGTTTAACTAAGGTCCTAAAGCGACACTCAGCTCCCTCTCAGAAGGCGTCTGGGATGCCCCTTGGCCATCTGTGAACTGGCCTGGGAAATTCTGGAGGACAGGTTAAAAAAATGAAGAAGTAGAAATTCAACAAGTTTGAAAAAGAAGTGGACATAACTCTGGGGGTGCTAAGAGCATTATAGAAACTACCCATAATTATTAATCTACAAGTGTACAAGCTTTTTTGGGGGGTGTCCAGTGGCAGGGTTTATATAGCTACTTTGGAAACAAGAGAAATATTAAGTGCTCATACCCAAATTGACCACCCACTCTCTGTAAGGAAAATCCTGATGTAGGATTTAGAGGTTATGGGTCGGACTATAGTCTTTCATTAGAACTGATGAAATTGTAAATAAAGTGGTCAACCCCTATATACCTAACACCCCAATACTTTCTCTCTTTGCTGTAATTTTATATCAATAAAGCCAGGATGATTTCCTTTTTCAAGTCTGGACCAGACATAAGTAGGGCTAGCTTTCGTGTGGCATCTTCGAGAGATCTCTGGATTTGTCATCATTACCCACCACTGACCACCCTCAAGTCGATTCTGATCCATAATGACCCTATAAGACAGGGCAGAACTAGCCTTTGGGGTTTCTGTGACTGGAAGTCTTCATGGGAGCAGACAGCCTCATCTTTCTCTTGAGGAGCAGCCGGTGGGTTGGAACTGGTGGCCTTGCATTTACCAGCCTGATAAGAAGTGACCAAGCAGCGCACCTTTTGTTATTATTCATCTTTATAAAAATGATAGGATGTATAGGAGGAAAGGCAATTCCAACCTGATTCCTTAGGGCAGTGGTTCTCAACCTTCCTAATGCCGCGACCCTTTAATACCATGTTGTGGTGACCTCCCTCCAACCATAAAATGATTTTCGTTGCTACTTCATCACAGTAATTTTGCTACTGTTATGAATTGGGCGACCCGTGAAAGGGTCGTTTGACCCACAGGTTGAGAACGGCTGCCTTAGGGCAAGACAGAATCTAGGCTGAGATAAGAGTCTAAATGAAAAGATGCTTGGGTAATCCCACGAGACAAAAAAATTCAAGGCCAGAAATGTGTGTCAAGGTTCAGCTTTGCTGGGGCTCCGTCCCGAAGCGATGGTACTGAACTTGAAAAGCAGATCAGTAGAAACCCCCTTCCTGAGAAGTTTCCTTCATCTTAGGGCGCGTGCCCTCAGGAACTATATTTTCAGTTTCAGAGAGGAAGCTAAAGAAGTGTGATGAAATTCTTGATGATTGAGGTGTGAAAGAAATTCTAGATGCAAGCACGCCAGCAGCAGGTGTTGCTTCAGAGGCTGAAGTGGGGCAGTATTAGCAGACGGGCAGGCGGTTCTCCCACTCATCTTTCCAGGGTGTTAACTTCCAACTGGAATGTTGGCACTTAAATTTCCACACCCTGTTAAGCAAAGTGCTTAAAACAAAACATTTGGCTCCAGTCAATGAAATCCAAGGATACTCCTACGGTGAAGTTAATCTACAGAGCAAGTGAAACCTTGGTGAATTTGCAGATGTCTTGGACAGCTGTCTCTCCCCACAAGATCCCATTTCACATGCAGCTCATCTCCCATCTCACTGACTCTGGGTGCTGACCCATCTGGCATCTGGAAAAGTGGCCCCAACTTTAACTGGGCTTAACTGTTGCGCCCCCCTCTTCACAACATAACCTAGCAGGGCTCCTCGTGTTTTAACTGAATGCTTCTGTTCTGCGGGGCTTCCCAGCTTTTGCAAACTTGACTTCCTGACTAGGCTGAGAATGAACACATTTGGGAGTATCGTTCTCTCTCATCTCCTGCCTTTTAACAAAATAAGTAAAATTAATGAATAACCATAACTCTCAGAGGAGCTGGGAGACTTCTAAAAGGTCAAATGACTTGGTGTAAGGCCAGGTCTAGTTTATGACTCCTTGTCTGCAGGGATATATTG